CAGCATTAACGAAACCTTTAAGTATTACTCCCTCATTGTATGTTTTAAACACTAATCCTAATTGCGAGGTTCCTTTCAAATATCTGAGAAGCCACTTAAGTGCTTTCCAATGTTCTAGTCCAGGATTAACCACAATCTACTTAAAGTGCTAATAACATGGGCAATATCAAATCTTGTACAAGCTATAGTGTACATGGTTGGACCCATAGCATTAGCATAGGGTACTTTTCCATATATCTAATATCAAAATCATCAATAGGGCAATGTTCTTTACTCAAGTAAAATAACTAGCTAAAGGTAAATACAGATTTTGACTTTTGATAGAAAATTTTGATAAAAGTTTTTCAACATTTTAGATTGTTTCAAAATTAATTGGTGTCATGATCTTTCTCTAACAATATCTGTTGACGTTCAAAATTGAACTCAATCAATTTTGATCAACTTGATCAAGGATTAGGAAGAGGTCATTAACTGCAATAGTAAAATAGTGAATTTATTGATTTTTGGTATTCACGTGTATTCAAATGAGGAAAGTGAGAACTCTTGCACATCAAAAGGACCGCACCTTTCCATTTATAGTTGGATTTTGGAAAGTTGGTCTCCATAGTCAAGTCATTAAAAGTACATTCTGACGTTAGCTATAGTGTTTCTCCTTATTGAGTTTGCCAAATTATTCAGATATGGAAATTTCCCATTGGATGGAGAGTTTGGCTCCAGCAGCTCATCATGATGTTTGGGATGAGTGTGAGTACCGTAATTATTATTGACATTTGATCGGTTGATAATAAGGTACTTAAATCACCTATGACATGTGCCATTAGAGAAATGGGCATAACAGGGGTGATGGCGTCGCCTGAGTTAATCAATAACCATGATGTTTAGGAATTATGGCGATGTGTACTCAGCTGACAGTGATTTGACCGAGCTATTCTTTGAGGATAATTCATGTTTTGAAACTTCTACTATTAATTAATCTTGTAATTAAGGTCAAGTACCAACAATTCGTCCCCCAAAGGTTAGGATTGTTTTGCAATTCTGACCTTTGTTAAAAATATTATCATAAGACGCTTGACCCATATAAGGACTTAGCTTTCAATAGTGTTGACGTGACAGTGATGTAGTTCGAAACTACAAACCAAACAATAATACGGTGAAAACGGATTGCTCTCTAAGAAACTCACGCCCGATTCTTATTTCTTGAACAATCAAAAAAACTACAAATGTTTGGAGAGCTTTAAATATGAAAGAAAACAGTTAACCTACTGGGCCAACAGTCCCTAAATGGGCTGGGCTACAAAACAAAACAAATAAACATTAAAATTAACTAACTATGAAACTTAAAATGCTGTTTTGACTAGGAAGACGACGTCAAACGTCCAAAATTCGAATCATCGCGAGCTTTCCGAAATGGGGTTATGGGCCCAAAACGGACATCGTATACAAAAGTTATGCCACTTTCTTTGAGCACCAACAATCCAAGCGCTCTAAATATGCAATCGCTTGTTCCTTCACATTAGCCTCATCATTCTCCCTGGGGTCAATGAGATTTGCCCTCGAATCAGAACTGGTAGCACCGTCTTCTATGTTATCTCCATGGTAGGGTAAAGGATGTTTCACATTAAATACATCAAAAGTCCGGATATGAGAAGGAATGCGAAGGCGATAGGCGTTGGGATTAATCTTCTCTGTAATTTCCACAGGACCAATGGTACGAGGTGATAACTTTTAATATTCATGGGAAGGCACTCGATCCTTAGTCAACACCGCCCAAACATAATCCCCAACATCAAATTCAACAGGACGCCGATCCCGGTCCGCCACCTCTTTATACTGACGGTTGGACTCCAACAGATTAGCCCGAGTCTCCTCATGAACCTGCTGCAAACTACGAACAAAGTCAACTGCCATCCCGTGTAAATGCGTCTTAGAGGGCAGAGTCAACAAATCAATAGGACTGCGAGGCAGAATGCTATAAACAACTTGAAACGGACTGAAATCGGTGCTCCTGTTTCGAGCATGATTATAAGCAAACTCCGCCTGCCTAAGCCACTGATCCAAGAACGGAGATTATCTCCAACTAGGCATCGCAACAAATCACCTAAAGAACGATTCACTACCTTCGTCTATCCATCCGTTTAAGGGTGGTAAGCACTACTGAAATTAAGTGACGTATTAACTGACTTCCATAAACTCCGCTAAAAATGACTGATGAACCTCGTGTCTCTGTCAGACACAATAGAAGTGGGCAAACCATGAAGATGATAAACCTCCCTGAAGAACAGCTGGGAAACCTTGACAACGTCATTGGTACGCTTACAAGGTATGAAGTGTACCATTTTGGAAAACTGATTCACGACCACAAAAATGGAGTCATGACCACGCTGTGCGCGCGGTAAACCCAGGACGAAATCCATGCTAAGATCAGTCCACGGAGCTGAAGGCACTTGTAAAGGACGATAAAGCCCAGCGTTTGTGGCCTTTACTTTTGCTACATGACACACCCTGCACCGCGATACAAACTTTTCCACTTCACGGCGCATAGAAGGCCAATAAAAAGAGGTACTAATGAGAGCTAACGTACGATCTCGGCCTACATGACACTCACCACGAAACTCCTCGATCAACTTCAAATGTAGGCTGCAATCCGGTATACACAACTGAACACCCCGAAACACATAACCATCTTCTAACAAAAAAGAGGATGAGGTCCTTGCATTAAACGATGAAAAATGGGGCCAAAATACGAATCATCAGCATAAAGACAGGCAAAAGTTTCAAACCCCGTGACTGCCACCTGTAGACGTGCTAATAATCCATGTCACCGACTGAGCGCATCTGCTACATGATTAGAAGAACTAGCCTGGTGTTTGATGACAAAGTTGAACTGCTGCAAGAAGGTAATCCATGATGCATGACGTGCAGACACCGAATCCTGACTGGACAAATGCTTGAGGGCCTCATGATCAATGTATAAAATAAATTCTCGCTGAAATAGATAATGCCACCAATGGCGTATAGCCTGAACAACTGCATAAAGCTCGACATCATAAGTGCTATATCGCCCACGAGCCCCCTGCTAATTTCTGACTAAAATAAGCCACTGGTTTTCCTTCTTGACTGAGAACAGCCCCTATGCCCAATTTGGAGGCATCGCAATGTAAGGCGAAAGACTTTGCGAAATTCGGCAATACAAGTATCGGGGCTGAAGTCAAGCGTTCCTTAATAACCACAAACGCCTCTTCAGCCTCGGGAGTCCACTGAAACTTGCTCTCTTTCATGCAATTAGTAATGGGAGACATGATGGTGTTAAAGTGTTGAATAAATCGTCGATAAAAGGACGCCAAACCATGGAAACTCCGCACATCAGAAACTGATTTAGGCTGGGGCCACTGTCGGATCACATCAATCTTAGCCGAATCCACTGCCACCCCACTAGCGACACAACATACCCCAAAAATAGTACACTGTCGGTATAAAAAACACACTTGTTACTGGCTGCGAAGAACTGTTCCCTACGCAAAATGGCAAGGACATCCCTTAAGTACACACCATGAGACTCCTCGGATCCACTATACACCACTATGTCATCGAAGTATACGACCACACACTTACCAATAAAAGGGCGAAGGGCTTGGTTTATCACCCGCATGAACGTGCTCGGTGCATTGGATAAACCGAATGGCATAACCAGCCACTCAAATAATCCCTCTCGTGTCTTAAACACTGTCTTCCACTCATCACCAAGGCGAATTCTGATATGATGATACCCGCTCTTCAAATCCAGTTTGGTAAATACCGTTGTTCCTGCCAATTGGTCTAGTAAATCATCTAACTGCGGTATCGAAAAACGCTATCGAACTGTTATTTTGTTGATGGCTCGACTATCTACACACATCCGATAACTACCATCTTTCTTTGGCACTAGAAGCGCGGGGACTGCACACGAGCTGAGGCTTTGTTTGATATACCCCTTCTGCACCAACTCCTCTACTTGTCTCCTCAACTCCTCATGTTCGGCAGGGCTCATTCGATAATGCGGGCAGTTTGGTAGTGATGCACCAGGTATCAGATCAATTTGGTGTTGTATATCCAGCAAAGGAGGAAGACACTGAGGAAGGTCCTCTGGAAATACATCATGAAATTCGGATATTAAGGCGGCAGCTTTGGGGGTGAAGACCCGTCCCCTCGGCTGCCATAGCGTTTGTCGCCTCAGTTCCCACCAGCAACAACACAATACCTTCCGCCAACATCTCAAGCACAAACAAAGATCAGGAAAGTAAATTACTAACGTCCCCTGCCGAAGAGACACAATGAGCATCCTTGGAGGGTAGTAGTATAATTTTCTAACCCGAAAAGGTGAACGTATACGTGTTACGATACCCCTCATGACACACATCCATATCAAACTGCCATGGACGACCTAACAAAAGATGACATGCTTCCATAGGCACCACATCACACCAAACACTACCACGATACACACTGCCAATAGAAAAAGGAACCAGCACACGTCTAGTAACACGAATCTCATTACCTCGTCTCAACCATGCCAGGCTATATGGAACAGGATGGGGTTCGAATCCCAACTTCAATTTCTGTACAACCATTTCTGATATTACGTTCTCGCAGTTGCCCGAATCAATGATGAACTTACACACTTTGCCCTCAATGGTACATGTGGACAGAAATATGTTATTGCGCTGCAAATCCTCAGAAGACCCCTTAGGCGTAAGGCACGCCCGTCGCACCACCAAAAGGGGACCCGTGTCACCTGTATGCACTACTTCAGCTTCTTCTTCCCCATTTGCCATATGGACAGGTTCTTCGAAATAGGTATGTGCTGCCTCTCCTATCAACAAACCTGGACGTGGTTGTCCTTGCAAAGGGCACTCCCTCCTTAAATGACCAAAGCTACCACAACCAAAACACTGAATACCACACTCTCGTCCACCAGAAGGAGCCCAACCACTGGGTTTGCAGCTGGGGAAGCCGCTGGCTGAATGTTCCGATCAACGCCCCGACCGCCAGTTATGGAGGATTGGGACGGACCAGATGTGGGGTTTGAGACGAATGGTCGACCCCCACCTCCAGATGGACCACCAGAATTAATTACTGTAGTACGACGGATTTGCTGATTTTCAGCTTGGAGTGCGCGCTGTTGAGCCTCTGAAACAGACACCGACAAAAACATATTAAGAACATCCTGCAAATTCAATCGTAACCCACCAATGTAGCGTGCCACCAACTGATCATTTGATTCTCCCACGTCATTACGTGCTATCAACTGATAAAATTATGTGGAATAAACATCGACAGATCGGTTGCCCTGCCTTAAATTTTGTAATCACTAATACAAGGTCCTGGTATAATTGAAAGGAAGAAACGCCGCTTTTAATTTTTTTCATCTTTTCCCATGACTGAATTTTTGACTTGCCCTTCCGGATCCGGTTCTGCTTCAGTTGCTGCCACCAAGCAGCAGCGTGACCACACAAACGCGTCGCCACCAATGGTACCCTTTTATTGTCAGGCACCTCTTTGTAATCCAAGATCTCCTCCACTGCCGCTAGCCAATCAAGGAATTCATCCACCTCTATCCCACCATGATATTCAGGAATATCGATCTTGATTCCAGATTCCCAACGTTGAAATGTTTCCCGCACACGAGAGGATTATACGCGAACGCCACGTACAGTTGATAATGTCTCTTCTTCTGACCTCTCGCCCGAATCATACCCGTCTTTCCCGTCACTTGCGGGGTCACGACGCGGAGGGGCAGGAGGTAGTCCGTTCCGCACGACCTCCGTCACCCAAGTCATGAACTGATCAAACTGAACTTTCAACGCGTCGATCTGATTACGCAGATCTGCAACTTCATCAATCTGGCCACCGCGGCCACCATGACCAGTACGTCCTCTTCCACGAACCATGCTCTGATACCAACTGATGTAGTTCGAAACTAAAAACCAAACAATAATAAGGTGAAAACGGATTGCTCTCTAAGAAACTCATGCCCTTTTCTTATTTCTTGAACAATCGAAAAATTACAAACGTTTGGAGAGTTTTAAATATGAAAGAAAACAGTTAACCTATTGGGCCAACAGTCCCTAAATGGGTTGGGCTACAAAGCAAAACAATAAACATTAAAATTAACGAACTATGAAATTTAAAATGCTATTTTGACTAGGAAGACGACGTCAAACGCCCAAAATTCATCATAGGTCACAACAAAGCGGTGAGTTCAATCGGAATCGTCGCAAGCTTTCCGAAATGGGGTGGGCCCAAAACGGACATTGTATGCAAAAGTTATGCCACTTTCTTTGAGCGTTGACAATCTAAGCGCTCCAAATATGCAATCGCCTGTTCCTCCACATTAGCCTTATTAGACAGGGTGCAACCATACTTCAAACTTGGTCTCCATGTGGCAATAATCAAATGACGGTTACTATAATTTAAATGAGTAATGTTATTCATCTCCACTGGCGGATCTGGGGGGTGGCCTAGGGGGGCACGTGCCCCCTAGATTTTGAGTTTTTTTTTTAATGAAATGAAAAAGAAAGAAATTAGAACCCTCATTCTTCTCCACTCCTCCGTCCAATAGCTCTCTCCCGACTCCCAACTCTAAGCTCTCCGCCGTTCCAACTTCCAAGCTCCGCCCCATCCTCACTCCTCTCTGAGCTCTCTCGGTCTCCGACTCTCCTGGTGAGGTCAGTTTCGACAATCTCAAATTCTCAGTCTCTGTCTGAGTTAATTGTGTGATGTGTATAATTTATTTGTGTTTGTTGTTGAGGTAAATGAATTGTGTTTGTTATTGAGTTTCATATTAATAATCAGCAGGTTAATTGGTTTTCTGATTTAGGGATTTAGGGTTTTTTGGAAATTGATAGGGATTTAGAGATTTAGACATAATATCATTCGATAATAATAGCACTTTCGAGCGTAAACATGCTTCTAAGCAAAATTCGAAGTCTTTGAGCCTGTGGGAATTTGTAGGAATTCCCTAGTTTAGGGAGTTAAATTGGCATTTTTCCACTTTATTTTCAGTTTCTTTAAACTTTGATATTATTCTTGAATCAAAGAGCTTATCAATTGTCATCATTCCTTTATTTTCAACAGATTTTCTTGATGAACATTGAATATTTTCTTTTCATGTTTTTATACAGAGAAGTGCTTTGATAGATGAACTAATCCGAGTTAGTGCTGAAAATAAGAGGCTCAAAGAAATGTTAACAGTAGTGTGTGAAAATTACAATGAATTGCAAAGCAGATTAATGGAGTATAAAACCAACAATCCATCAATGGATAACACAGCAGCATCAAGAAAAAGGAAAACTGAAATCAATGGCTCAGCTTCCGAGAGCAGCCTAGTGATGAAGAATCATGCAAGAAACTAAAAGAAGAACACATCAAAGCAAAAATTTCGCGGGTTTTCGTTCAAACACAAGCATCTGATACAAGCCTTGTAAGTTGACGTTGATTGTGTTGAACCATCTAGTCTAAAATCTTAAATTGTTAGTGAGGACACGGACTTTGGAATCGTGGTTTCTTGATGAATTATTGTATATTAAAACTGCAGATTCTTAAGGATGGATATCAATGGAGGAAATATGGACAGAAGGTGACTAAAGACAACCCTTGTCCAAGAGCTTATTTCAAGTGTTCTCATGCTCGTACCTGTCCGTCAAAAAGAAGGTAAGCAACATAAAGCCTAGGTTAATATTAGTTGCAATTTTTTAGTAGTAAGTCGTTTTGNTTATTAATAGTAACTCGTTTTGTGTTATAAAAACGAATAGCAATGAACTTCTATGAAATAATTTCACAGTACTTTACTATAATTTTTTCGTTACTTTTTGAAAGTTTGATTGTGCCCCCCCAACATAAAAAGTCCGTCCCTGTTCATCTCCACCGGAGTTACAACCATAGTCTAAATGACGTTAATGTGGCATTAAATATGACATTAAGTGATAGGCGAAATATTAATAAGTCATTTAATTTCACCTTTCATTTAATTTATCATTTAGAACCACCTAAACCGTGTTTGTAATTCCTGGATGAATAACATTACTCAATTTAAACCAAGGCTTTATGATGAATTTATATCTTTTAGTGTAGTCACGACATTTGGTGTTTCATGCCATTTGAGAACAATTATTGGGAAGAGGTGTCTTCAATTCTCACAACGATTTGGGAGAAGCGCCCTTTCGTCTTCTTGCATTACTTTCCATAATGAGTTCAGACGACTTTGCAATTCATTCTTATGGGAACAATCAAAAGGAAGTTATAAGTTCATCTCTAGCGTTTTCTTCCCAATCCTCCTCCCCCGTTTCTTCAAGTTCTGAGGTTTGCGTTCTTCACCGAGTTTTCAATCCAATTACTCTAGCCATGGCCAACCCATCCGACTCTGTTCCTAATCCATCGGTTTTCCAACCTAGTTAGTGTTGTTATCGCTGTAGTTGGCGGCAGTAGCAGCTCTTTTTGTGAATCGTGGGAATGTGTGAATAAAATCTATGGTGAATGAAGAGAAATTGGTGAAATGGAAGTTGGATTATGACATTCCTGATTTTGTAGAGGCATTTTTGCCTAGCGAAGATGACCGTGTATGTGACATACCAGAAGGATACGTAGCTTTGAACCCAGCTATCCTTCTTTTCGGACCGCGTCTTCATTTTCTTCGTGTTATAAGGAAGTTTTTATCAGCTTGGAAACTTGCCTCAACTTAACTTTGTTCGAATGGTTTGAGGACCTTATATGGTTGTTTGCTGTTGCGGCATAAGTTGGATTTTTTAGAGCTTATTGTGGAGCAATTCAACTCCTTCTATATTTTTAAGGAAGACGACAAGGATTCAAGTTGGTATTATAAGGCCAACACTGGGGGGTCTATAGTGTTGGCTACTTCATCCTCTATTAAAAATTGAAAAAATGGACTTCCTCTATGTGTGAGGGGATTGGCAATTTAGGCCCAAAGAGGTAAACAGGGATGACGTAGTCCCAGTGAGGTATCACAAAATATGTAAGTATGATAGTACATTATCTACTGTTTTGCCGAACTGAAATCGCCTACCACTTATGGATTTATTTTCCTTTCTAGTTTATCGCCCATGCACATCTCTCAAGGAACTAGGAGGTAGCTGATGAAACAATGTACTAGCATCAACCCAAAGAAACTACTACAATTTGATCACTGCCAATTTAACAAGTGCAGGTCTTCTTATTCGAAGTCACACTGGGGTTATGCCAAACTTCCCTTCTGTTGTACCATCGTCTCTACCAACTGGTCAAGGTCCAAGGAGGTCGTCTCCACCATCTCCACATAGTCAGAGCCATATAAGGTCGTCTGTCACCACCTGTGGTCTTGTAAATTCATTGTATTGAATCAAGTCTTGGAGTATAGTCGCTACCACAACAATCTTTATTTTCCTGAAGCATGGTCTATTTCCCCAGTCCAAATAAAACAAACGCCTCATCAGAAGAGGTCAACATTAATGCCTCCCCCAGGTTCTGTTTTGCGCGTTTTACTCGCTAACAATTAAAAAGGGATCAGACGATTGTGTAACGGACAAACCTCTTGAAACAAAGTCCAAAAAATGGGTGTTTATTGAATATGAAAATTACATTTTGGATATGAACAAGATGCCTCCAAGGGGCGCAAGCACACAAGTACAAGGGAATTGAAGTGATTGAAAGTTAATCTAAGAAAAGTAAATTACATGTTCTCTGTTTTGAGAGTGAAGTTTCGGGGATGTCTTCATTGTCTTCCTCTTTCTTTTATACGGTTTGGGCAGTTTTGATAGTTTAGAAACTGCTTGTAACTACCCATTTCCTTCATCATGGTTGGCTGGCCAACAACTACCGTGTTCAACTCCTATCACCACGTCCTCTTCATAACTGCTTGCCATCAACTCTCTCAAATCGTGGGGGCGTAATTATGATGTGCTCAAACCGTCTTAGATCGTGCCTTTGGATAACAACAAGCTTTAGTAATTGCTAGGACTCTGGGCGACTCAGCAATTTTGGGCGACAATTGCTCTTCCGCTATGGGCG